TATATATATATATATATATATATATTTATATATATATATATACACACACACACACACATACAGAAAAGAGCGGTCAGTGCATTATTAAAAATGTCTTCTGTCATGTTTCCACAAAAGAAATAAAGCACTATAGGTTTGTAATGACATGAGGAAGAAAATATGATAACACATTTTTGGGTGAACTGTCCCTTTAATTTTTGAAGGAACAGACTTCACTGTAGCCAATCAATTTCACAGCTAACAGGATCTGTTTGGTTATCTCATGGTTACATCAAATATTATTCATGAGAATGAGCATGTATGAGGACAGAGGAACAGTGCATGCAGGTATGATTCATATCATTTATAATATTCAAGATAAAGCTTGCTGTGAACAGTAAATCCATGGCACTGGTGCAGAGAGCCTTTCTGCTGCAGACACAATCCTCATAAAACTACATAAATGTTAACCTCTCCCTCTGCGCTTATTGGCTGTGTAATAGTTTGTTGATACACAGAGCGCTTGTCTCTTGGGGTCGGTCTGGAGCAAAAAGCATAATAATAAATAATAAATCATAAATAAATGAAAATCACCCACCGCAAACTGCCTATTACTGAATATTTTACAGGGCACACAGACATTTGTTCTCAAGGGAGCTGACAGAGCACATAGTGGGCCTTGATAAAAGGACATTTACTTAAATTATTTCACAGTAGGCTGATTCTTTCGGAGCGCTGATAATTCCTGTAATGGAATTGACTGTACTGGTGTGCCAAATCATTCATAAATGCATAATGAACCACGAAAATTAAAGATGAGCTTTGCTGGCAGGGAATCAAGAGGGACGGTCCCTGTCGCATTTCTAACACGTTCCCTTCTGTCGTATTTTTAGCACACCTGCCTTGCTGCCAGGCTGATATCAGCTGTGAATGACTGTTCATTATATTCGTCAAACATGCCCAGACAGCAACGGCTTCTACGCCGTGACGCAGGACCACCGGTGGCGGTGTTGAGCGCTCTTGCATATGGCAGATCCACAGAGAGGCTTTGTAGGGAAGAGAATGGGAGTAGTGGAGTGAAGGCGTCTCGTGTTACAATCTACACGATCTCAGTGGTACGACACAAGAGCAAGCTGCTTTGTCAGTGTCCGAGGTCTGAGCTGTTTGTCCCCCGGCCGAATGTCATTACGCTCATCACAATAAAGCTATCTGATCACATTCTGGGCTCTTATGAAGAGCAGCCAAGTGTGCAGAGTACTGCCGAACGACTGCGGACGGAGCCACAGATGTGGCCAGGGTGGCACATGCTACTATTTCATTTTCTTTGTTTAATCGTACTGAAAGAAGCATTTATTTTAGCCTCGAACTCAAGGATGCGACACATCTGGTGTTGTGCATCGCGCTTCTTCTCGTCTATTTCCAGCCTCTCACATACGCACACTCGCGCCACACGTTCATTTTCTTACAGAGTGAAAAACATCGCAGAGCAGAAAGGACACAGACAATGAGTTGACAGACAAGACAGAGCAGGTCACTTTTGATAATAGGAAACAAAGTCTCAGCATTCAAATTCTGTTAGCTTATAAAGAATTTCAAACGATAAATACAATTTTGGTTGCGTGATGGTTCATGCGTGCTCCCGCTTTGCTTAAGTTAAAGCGAAGGAGGAGGAGTGCATTCTAATTAGCATGAAATAAACATTGAATGAACATCCGATCCATGTTGAAAGATACACTACAACTTAATGTATAGTGTCTCATGTAATCATCCAATTAACGTTTCAACCGCAGAAAGACCGCAGCTAGAATATAACAGCAGAAAATCCATTCTGTGTCCGTAAACTAGTGAGAAAAATGCACAATAGAGAGGAGAATTTAGCAACAAATTACATTTATTAGCTATATATTTACTCATAATTGCTCTTTTAATTATAATTAATAAAATGTATAGATATAAGGTTATTATAAAAAAAACTGTCTAATATAAACTTGTACACAAATCAATTGTTACTTTTTTCCCTGTATACTTTAGTTTAGAAAAATTGAGAAAAAAAATAACATGTACTTAATCGCAAGCTTGTTAATTATTCCTGAATAATTCTCACTCCAGGCTGAACTCAAAAGTTGGCAGCCCTGTTTGAAGTAAGTTGAAGTTTTAGTTTTCCTGAGCAACATTAACAAAATTCACTGTAGCCTACAAGTTAATGTTAGATCTTTTGCTCCAAACCACTGGTTAATGAGATGATAGAAATAAGAGAAATAAGACTAACCAATAGTCTTATTTCAATAGATTAACATTTGAAGTTACGGTATGTTGAATGTGAATTAATCAGCAATCATAGGATTTATTCATGCTTTTTTTTAATGCCAGTTTGGAGTTATACACTGGTTTTCTTCCATGGTCTAGCCTTGGCCACCCCATATATAAAACTCTAGATCCACCACTGGACACAAAGCATCATTATTCCTTCTGAGCAAGCTGAGGCTTCAGCAAGAAAACCTTCCATCGTTTGTCAGTTTGCATCCTTGGCGAGAGTCTTTAAAAATACAAACTCTCATTCTTGTAGGGGAAAAAACTCAGACTTTAGGCATCTTGAGAGTCTAAAGATGGCAGAGTGGGTTCCATTGATATTCTGCTGGTTCTGTGAAGATCAGGGAAGTCACTCAGGTAGTCGAAAATCTATAGACGGAGCCAATAAGCCCAGGTGGCAACCAATGAGGGCAACTTCCCTGGAGTGTTCCTGCTCAAATTAGACAACTGAGCCGAACTGAGAGAGAGAGAACAAGCCTGACGTGCGCTGACTGGGCTGTACATAGAAAGCGCACACTACAGAGCACAAATGGAAGTGGGGAAAACAAAGTCTCTGGTAAATATTTAACAAACGCCATGCTCCCGCTAATTCCCTGCTGGAAGTCTTGGCTGACTGTTTAACAGCCGATTTTCTCTGTACTTCGCAACAGAGCGAGAGAGAGTGCGCTACTGTGGAGCCTGATTCACGCGAGTCTGGAGACGCCGCTACTTCTGGCTCCATTAGGCAGCTCCACAAAGCTAGCAGGACTGAATCTGTCAGATGTGAAATGTTCGTTTAATTTTGTAATATGCACCCTTGAATGAATGAAACCACTGCTATTCTGAGGCGCTGCTCCGGTGCTCTCAGCATGGCTCCAGTGACTAAGGAACAGGCTTATTTAATTTATGTATATTTTGCACATTCTAGCTGAAATTTTCACTAGCTTTAGTTCAATTTCACAACAACATTTGCATAGTGCTTGTGAACAATAAAATGTGCTGTAAAATAATTGCAGCTACTATCATTCTGGCGTCTCTGGCACATTAATGGTTTAGAGCCATGGACCAAATCCACTCAAATCTTGTGTCAGATGGAGAACAAGTCCTGGCTGGTTTTGCTCAATTTTGCAAAGTTCATGGCAGAGAATTTTGGGAATATATTCAAGAGATTTGTTTGAGGTCATTTGGATCAACTAAAAAGACTTTAATTTAATTTGTGTTGTCTTCACAATGTTTCACAGAGACATTATTTTCAGTAACAAAGTTTGGTAAATTTCTGTAAAGTTTGGGGTCAGTATGATGTTTTTGAAAGTCTCTTATGTTCACAAAGCCTGCATTTATTTGATAAAAATACAGTAAAAACAGTATATTATTACAATTTAATATAACTGTTTTCTATTTGAATATATTTTAAATGTAATTTATTACTGTGATGGCAAAGCTGGATTTCAGTGTCACGTGATCCTTTAGAAATCATACTGATATGCTGCTCAAGAAACATTTCTTATTATTATCAGTGCTAGTATTTTGTGGAAACTATAATACATTTTTCAGTATCTTTTGAACAGCAATGTATCTGCTCCTAAACATCATATACAAGTGAACTAAACTGAGCTGTGATGGTTATTTACATGACAATCAGATGTATTTTTCCTGTCAAACTGAGTGATTCTTTTAGACAGAATGAACCAATAGGAAGATTATTATTAAACCAGACCATCCGGCATAATGTAAAATCAAAAAATTAAAGTCATTTTCTCTATAATTACATTCATATTGTAATTTTATAGATATATAGATATATAAATATACAGTGGGTACGGAAAGTATTCAGACCCCCTTAAATTTTTCACTCTTTGTTATATTGCAGCCATTTGCTAAAATCATTTAAGTTAATTTTTTTTCCTCATTAATGTACACACAGCACCCCATATTGACTGACAAACACAGAATTGTTGACATTTTTGCAAATTTATTAAAAAAGAAAAACTGAAATATAACATGGTCCTAAGTATTCAGAAGGGGATCCACACAAAGAAAAAGGAGGGGGAGGGAGGGAAGGCCAAGGCAAAACATACACATACATCAGTAAGTCCAACATGCATTTCAAAATAAAACATACCATGTTAGGTACAGTAATCACAAAAAGTGAGGGGAGTGTGGCATCTACACCATTAAACTACAACAGAGAGACTGTTAAACACAAGTAGATGTTAATAACCTGAAGAAAAGACCAGGCTTTTGTGTTTAGGACCATGTGTGTGTGTTTTTAGGGACTCACTCAGGGTCGGTCAGAGGGGTGGTCTCATTGGGTTCGGTGGGTCCTCCTCCTTCATGGTTTGGTGTGTGTTCTTCCTCAGTCCTTACCTCCACAATGGGCTCCTTAGATTCATCCTTACTGTAAAAAATGACAAACCAGAGTTATCGAGATTAACAAACGTCACAAGGGGTGTGGATTTATGGCTTGCAAACATGTAGTGAACATTGTTGGCTAACATAGATCAGGATTTGTTCAAATTAGCAGCACTGTTTAAAACGGCTTAACGATTATAAACAAATTGGTATGTCTTGCACCATATGGCGTACTTTTCTGGCAAAAGTGTGTTTGTATTAATTTATAGCTGTTATGGTATTAAAGTAAGAAATGTAAGGGAAAATTTGCTTCTTTTAAAAAAAAAAACAACATATGGTGCAAAAAAGGCTATTGTCAGATTTATTTAAAATGCAACATTTTTGTAAAACAAAGGTAAGGTAACAGAAAAAGGTACATTTATTTAATTCTGAGATATATATTCTGACACCATATTTTTATATTTATTATATTTGTGAAACTGTTGGCAGTTCAATTAAAGAAAAAAAGGTAACACTTTAGTATAGGGACCAATTCTGCATAACCGAGAATTGGACCATAAAATAAAGTGTGACAAAAAAAAAAAAAAACAGAAACAATATAATACATATTTTGAATATAATGCTAAATAAGGTTAATGTCATATTTATTTAAAATTGATGTAAAACAAGTAAAGTAAAGAAAAAATTACATTTCATAACAACTTTAAATTTATTTTCTTTGGACATATGATAATAGCTGTTTTTAGCACTATATTTTTATATCTATCATATTTGTGAACTGAAAACTTTGGCAGTTTTCATAAAATATAAATATTTTAATCTGACAAAAAATATGATGTCAAAATTGCTTTTTTGTAAAACTGTTGTCAGATCAAGTACAAATATTTGTATATTTGTGCATGACAAAATATAAATATATTTAGAATACACTGTTTTCTGACATTCATGACAATATGGTGCTATAAATAACTATTTATCATAATCAAAAACTATATTGTTGAGCCCTTCAGTGCAATAAAATGACATCAAAATATGGATAACTTGCTAGTTAAAAAAGAAAAGGTTTTCTTTGCATAGCATTTTCAAAGGCTACTAAAACAGATGCAAATGAGCCTCCTTTTCATTCCTAACCAGCATGCACCTCTCCTCCTCTCCTCTTATCTCAACATGAGCCGCCATGAGCCAATATTCACATCATTCTCATTCATAGAGTCAGATATGTCACAATCAGCCCTGCCTCAAGTCCTCTTGTAGAGCTGATGGGAGCGATAATGATGGGAGAGCCGTGATGGATGGCGTTATCGGACAAGGGAACACACACAGATGAGAGGGAAAGGAAAAGACAGGCTCACGTGAAAGCGGCTTTTCCCTCCTCGATATCCTTCCCTTTGGCAGAGGGCCCAGACTTGCCGCAGAAGTTGACGGCGATGCACATGAGAAGCCCACACTTGTTGAGGAAGTAGCATGTGACATCCACGCCGAAGAGGAGCAGGATGAAGACCACGATGAGGATGCCCACGATAGCCCCGGTGCTCAACCCTGAGCTGGTTTCTTTGGGAAGGAGGAAGAGGAGAAAGTCAAAACAAAATGATACCAGACAGACCAGCCCTTAAAGTGTGAGGCTTTTTTGCAGTCTAGAAAAAATTACAGTCTATTTTGTATGTTGTACTAATTTGAAGTGAGCTGAAAGGACTGGCTTGTTGAAGGCAGTTAGGACTAAAGCCAACACACTCCTAGAAACACATACGGGTGAATTCACTAAACAACTGCACTTTTACATACTCCGTCTTATTCACTAACCACCAGCAATCCAGGAACTAAATGCGCTGAATTGCCCTGCTTTGTATTTAAATTAAAGGGACAGTTCACCCAAAAATGAATATTCTGTCATCATTTACTCACCTTCATGTCGTTTCAAACCTTTATGCAACTTACTTTCTTCTGTGGAACATAAAAGAAGAATGTTTCAACTATTTTTTTTCTATACAATAAAAGTAAACAAGGTGCAAAACAACACTGGATCCCATTTACATTCATTCTATGGACAAAAAAGAGACATTTCTTTTATTTGTTCTTGAATTAAGAAAGTCATACTGGTTTCAAATGACATGAGGGTGAGTAAATGATGACAGAGTGTTCATTTTTTGGATGAGCTGTCCCTTTAAGTCATTATACTGTATTTGGTGCAATGCTACTCTCTTTGTAAATTAGGAATTGAACCTCACAAAATGTAATGTCAAGCCTTCCAAGAGCGGTTAACAGAATTGTATTTGTTTGCGTACATTTTCTATTAATCATGGCAGCAGTAATTTATCAAATGATAATCAAGCGATGGAGAAGAGCGTTATAACCGGGCTTACATCCAAATGCGTGGTGTAGATGAGTCCATTTTACACATTTTAAAGAGGTGCCTGGATCAGTGTTAAAACCATGCTGTACAGTTCCAGTAAAGTATGCCAGATTATGATTGTCTGATATATCCTTCACAACATAGCAAGATCAGGAGTTACGCAGATTCATTAATTATTTGCATCATCAGAATTACTAAAACAACAATCGTGTGCAAATAAACTTGTCATCAGTTGATTCTTAGTGAATTCACCCCCATTATGTTTAGGTTCACCACACAGATTGCCAAAATGGGATGCGTTTCAAGTGTTATCCACACACAGTATACAACATAGCATCACATACAGCGTCATTCTGAAGCAGGGCATTCATCACTCACATGGAAATGAACCCAGCATGCTTATTCAGAGACATAATTAACTCTCTTTGTACAGAACTTCAGCAGTCTTGCTCAGAACGTTAACTACAAGGCTTGTTCTGTTCGTATTCATGCACATATTTTAACAGAGAAATTACACTGGCATGGAACGGTGAAAATAATCTCAATATTCAGCTCTTAGTGCATTCACTTATGGGGTAACTCCTGCATAAACACACACACAAAACACAAAAAAAAGTTAAACCATGTGGATGACCAATGTGCTTTTGGACTAACAAAGGGAGATCTGATGTGGCTAAAAGCAAAAACTTATTTTGGACAAATTCTGATAAAAAATAAATAAATAAATAAATAAAACCAAAAATAAAATTGAGACAGGTAAAAAGATAATACCTACTATCATAAAGCAGTTGTTCTGTAATAGGTCGTTTTATCCTTAAAATACTTTCTTATATATATATATATATATATATATATAAGTTGTCAGAATACAAAAAATTAAATACAAAAACACAGTGATTATGATTATTATATATATACAGTATACTGAGACATCATATTCTGGGTGCATCTGGGTGCACACAGCTTTGATGATATAATATGTTGGCTGCAAAAAAATATGCTAACATAGTTTATTGTTATCCTAACACTCAATTGGTAGTTCATTCAAGTATTCTTGTGAGTACACAGCCATAGATTATACTGTGAATTAAGATGAACAAGCTGACTGAATTTGCAATTAGGCTTATATCGAGTTCTAGGCAACTTCACATGAAGTGTCTCTAATGAAACGTCCTTCTAAATCATTGATGGAGCCACATAAAGACCTAAAACACATCTATGTGTATCAAGGAGATCATGAATTATGGATGCACTCAACAGAGACCTCGAGGAAAAATGCATTAGACAAAACTATTCGAAGAAAAAAAAAACACCTCATCTCAACCTGCAGCTCCACATGAGTCTTACTGCTATCAGAATACTGTGCGCAAGACTTGCAATAGACCTACAAAAATCCAAAACGTATTATGAATTTAAACCAAGAAACCTGTATGATAGGTAATCTGGTGCTGTGAACTTTGTGATGAAATCTAGCCATCGTAGCAGTCAACTTATACTATGGATGTGTATAAGAGGCTGGGTAACGGGAGGTAGAGCTGACAGATTTAATCTAGCGGCCAGCCAGGAGAGGGCCGAGAGCGCTTCTCCTAGCTCGGGGCGCAGAGTGGGCTGCACTTGTTTTCCTGAGCTTCAGCCTGCATTTTAACAAGTGCGATAAATCACGGCACACATCTGAGCACAAAGGCTGTCTCACTGAGCTCCTTCACTGGCCAAAAACATCCTGTTCTGCTGACTCAGCAGCGTGCTTGAAAGGTCTTCCAGACACTCGAGCCGTCTCCACATATTACAAACCTTATCATGTTCTGAATACTGAAAATTGATGTGAAAAAAACTGACAATGTGGTGCATGTTATATTTGAGTGTTAGGTTGAAACAAGGCAGTCTGGAATACATGGACATAATTAGCTGTTAGCATTCCCATGGCAATGCACCTGGAAGTACCTGTACACTGCCGTCTTTGTTCATACAGTAGGTATTCAGTTCTGGACACACTTTTCAAGCAAATTACTTGAGTTGTAAATGTCATGTGACTTGTAACAGCATGTACATTTAGAGAGCTGCAGCAGTGATGTCAAAACTCAGAAGACTAATTTACTATGGGTTCCCTAGAGAATGTTTTTTTTTTTTCAATTTATGAGTAAAACAAGGTCCGTGGTAAATGTAAATTGACAACACTTATTTATTTTTTAAATCATGTTGTACAACAAATCATCCAAGTATTGTCAAGTTATGTTTACCATAGGAAAAACTCTTGGTGAATTAGTCTTCCTAGTTTTGTCGTTATAGCTGCAGCACTCTATGTAATAGACATACTAGCAAATTAATTTGTGGTTAATTTTGCATCAATGTAAAAGCAGGTTTTATGTCCTCAAAATGAGGTTATGGCAGGGCCTAGCAGCTAGCTAATGCTAACTAGTCAAACTTTAACCCCTGTGTTGAATATTACATATAAATGTATTAAATAACGCTACTGCAGGATCGAAATCGAACTGCAGGTGTTATAACAATTTGTAAAAATCTACAACAGTTCACCAGAATCCTGTTTAAATGCTCCAGAGGCATCTGCTGAATGTGACTTTTCGCTAACAGCCCATTTTAACCTTCACGGCACGGTCATTACAAATGTTGTCTGTTCTGAAGACTCTCAGGTTATTGAGACACCTCCAGACTTGGCACTTGCCTCCGTCTCCAGTCACTCTCAGTGATAAGTGTGAACAAGTGGCACTTCTGCCGGTGCCAGGTTTGGATTCTCAAGTCATTTTGCCTCTGGTTCTGCTAGTCTGAATGAAGCTGATGATCCATCCGGAGTGGCATTAAGCATCCCAGACGGACCAAACGAGGTGCTGCTTTTCTGATGAAATGTCACCTAGCACCAACACACAATGATTAAGGACAGAGATGCACCTGCATATGAAAGATGAGCCCGACAAACTGATTGGCACATGCGTTTCCAGGAGTCAAAACTCCAGGGCGCATCACTTTATTACCATGAGAATCCATTCCAAAATGGGAAACAAATGCTACTCCATTTTATTGAACAAACGACCCCCATTCCCTCCCCCATTTATTTCCATAACCCTGCCATATACTGTATATGAGCTTTTATACTGTAAGACACTTAATTACATTAGTTGCACTTTACTCGACACTCTCCCAAGAAATGCCTGCATAGGTCTTGCATAATAATGACACTCGTATCTCCGTTCTCGATGGCATACGGCAGCCTCGGACATGTAAACTGACCACCATCTTCTTTAATACGGACAGCCGGCTGGAGGTCAGTCGACGTCCATACCTGTATCCGTCCATCGCTAATGTTCAAAATTGATTTATACGGTTACAACGGAGGCGGTGCCATGCACACAAGAACGCTTGTGGGTTTCGCATTAAAATTCAGTCTGGGGGGTGTTTATGTTAAATCCTGTCTAAGCAAGAAAAAACAGCCTTAAGGAATTTAGCATTTCAGAGTAGAGATGGTCAATCAGAAGTACTGCAGAACACTCCTGCCCTTTAAAAGTAAAAGGCTCCGTGGGTCCCTCCAAACCGACATTGAGCACCATGTAATCATGGGACAAACATGAAACGGCCACGCATTACGGTCCCATGCAACTCGCTGCGGCGAGATTTCGACTCGAATCCATGTTGCGTTTGTTAAAAACACAAAATAAACAAAAAAATCCATCTAGCTTACCGTATTTTCTTAAAACCTACAATGATTACTGCATGACACCATACTGGTACGTGTATACAAAAAAATGTATTACAGAACATAATTAAATTACACAGTTGAAAATGACACTTATTGAAGTGAATGAGTTTAAACAGCAGTAGCATTAGTTTTGAATGGTCTTTTCAAGTAAGAAGCAGAGAAAAGAAAATGTAAATAAAAGTCCATTACAGAAAGTATATATTTTCTGAATCGTCTAAAATTATGTACATTTTTTCACAAAAAACACGTTTTCCATATCAACACAGAAACTTGGTGCCTATTCCTTAAAAACACCCTTCCAAATTAGTTAATATCTTAATAATAATAACAACAATAACAAAAGAATAAGAAACTTAAAATTAATGAAGGTAATGAAAATAAGGACTTTTTATCTCCTAAATGGGCCCTAGAATAATTATATCAAGATTAATATCAGGCATCTTGATAGGGAAAGATTTTCTACAACACTCCCAAAAAGTCCATGGTTTGAAAAACATCTTTTCAAACACATCAACGTTGCCTTGCTTAAACATAAAATGAATAAGAAACTAAAAATGACAAGAAACAAAAAAGAAAACAGAATGATACAAGCACCGAACACTCTGCTTAATTCCAATACATGTAACTGATATTCTTTTTTGTTTGTTTGTTTGTTTGTTTAGCCTGCGAGAGGATCAGAAAGGCGTAGAAAACTGAAGGGTGTGGTTGAAGAGTGGACAGGGCTCCTCTCCTCTGGCGAGCCCCAGTTTATGAGAGCACTAGCACAGTCAGCATGGAGAACATGAGAGTGACGAGAGCGTACGTCACAGAGGAGCAGCCAAGGGTTGCTGAGACCACACATCCCACACCACCACACCAAAAAAAGACACCCGAAGACCACAGGGACAGTGCACAGAAAAAAAAAATAGAGGCAAAAATGGGGAAAAAATCAAGTTTTGAGTGCGTGTTTGAAAATGCGGTGATCCGGTGATGTCCGATTTTACACATGGAGACAGAAAAAGGGAAAGAGGGAGGGAAGGAAAAAACAGGGAAAGAAATTGGGAGAAAGGGAGAGAGAAAAAAGAGAGAATAGATCAGAGAATAGGTCAAATACAGAAAATTAAGTTTAAAAGGTTAATCAAGATTAGAAAAGAATATCAAAGGAAAGTTCAAGCAAGTTAGTAAAAACCAAAGTAAGAAGGCGGTAGCATGTTAAAAGCACAGCAATGACAGCAAGTCGAGAATGAAAGGACAACGATAGTCAAATGATGGGAAATATGGAATGATAAGGACACGAAGACACGGACAATCAAGAAACACGGATCAGGCAACTTTCCTGGTATTTGACGTTGCATATATACTTTGCAGGCAGTTTTGATAAATCTTACATATTCCCCCTCTCTTTAAAGGTGAAGTGTGCAATTTCCTCTCTACTAGCGTCTCCAAACTGTATTGCAGCATTAATAACAAAAAGTGTAATTGAATTGCAATTGCTCTTTCAAATAGATAGTCCCATCCCAAAGCCAACGGTCATTAATAGCATCACAGAGACAGTGTTTACACTTTTTTTAGAGAATTTCATCAAATTTTCATCTTTCATCATTTATAATTGTCTCTACTGCGCAGAGATAGAGAAGGTATTTTAAAATGAAATATTATTAAATAAAAAATACACACTTCAGCTTTAAACAAGTGCTTCCAGAAAATTGCATTTAAATTACTTATAATTAATTCAGATCAAGAAAAACATTCTACAGGAAATTAGGAAACAAACAGGCTTTCAACTTTCTATGTCGCAAACACCAGGGAAAATGTTGCCCAGTCAAAAGACAAGGCGAAAACAAACAGGTTATGATGCAATACGGTGTAATAATGAGCTGGATGACTGAATGAGTTTTCCGATGTTACTTAAACTGCACAAACGTTAACGGGCATTGTATTAGAACAGCTTTTATTCCATGTCAACTGTAGCCGGGGAGATTTGGATTACAGGAAGTAGAGCTTTAGCATTTGTCGCGCGGCCAGAGCTGAGCTCGACCAGTTACCCGTACCACGCACGGAAATGCACTGGCTCCCTATTTTAATTCCTGCCAAACTCTCGACGTGTTGACCATCTGCAAGCTGAAGGGATATGTCTTGTGATAATAATAGTGTCCAGACAGTTTTAAGGGTTTCTAACCCGTCTCCCACACGCTGCTCCGAATATAAGATTCTAGAGAAGCATGAATCGCTGTCTGAGCAGCTGTTTTTGGACCATCGTTTCTAACAGCAGTTGCTCCAGCTGATGCAATGCAGATGTTGGGCTAAAAATAAAGCTGCTTTTTTGAACTCCCACATGTTACACATTGAGGTTAACAACTCTGCAATGTGTAAGTGTGGCGAGATGGGAAAAGGGACAAAGGAAGGCTTTTCTATCCATCTGAATCTGCCGAGATCCAAAGCTCCCACTGCTATATGGCTGCTTCCCACTAAGCGGATGAGAAAAAGCAGGTCTCTTGGCCATGCTCCGGGAGATGCCTGTTAGGTCCTCAGTAAAGCATTAAACCATTAATCCTGTTGAGGCGTCATCATGCAAAACCAGAGGATGCATCCCCACTGAGAGCAGGCAGATAGTCAGCCTAATTCAATCGGTCTGCTGCAATGAGCCTGAACTGAGCCTCAGTTCAGCCTCGAGAAAGAGACCGAGGAAATAGAGAGAGGGATGATCTAAGGGCCAATTTTTATCAGTGGGGAAGCAGCTCGCAAGAAAGCAAAAACACAGCACTGCCAATGGAGCACAGACCAAACGAGCCCGTGTTGGAGGGGGTGGATGGTTTAACGGACCTGCTGTGGCTTTTTGCCTCCCGAGTGCCAAATAGAAAATCTCATCTCCGCTGATATCATCTGCAATCGCTCCGAGACGAGCAATAAAGCCAGCTGCAAGAATCAGGGGGAGGTTGCCGGAGGGGTCAGTGCTCTGGAGAGGAGCTGAAGGTCTCCAGGCTTCACCTGTGGCCACCTCTCACAGACATTTAGCACTCTGCACTCTTATTACTCTTAGATTGTGTCAAATTACTCTCTAGAGGGAGGCCAGGCCACAACCTGAATTGACACAAGGGTGGCCTGTGTAATCCACAACAAGACCTGCTAGTAGGATGGGGTTAACAGGGGTTGGGTTGAGGCGGTCGGGCTGTTGGCCGCTCTGGCTGGCAGTGGCTGTGCTTCAGGGTTAGGGGGTGGGCTGTACCTGGGATGGCGGTGGGTTCTGGCAAGGTCCTGAAGGAGAGTTTGCCAGGTTCAGATCGTCCTCGCTGGTTTTCGGCAATGATGTTGACCTCGTACTCCGTGTTCCAGTCTAGACCTCGCAGAACAACGTACTCGCTGCCGTTGGGCAGGCGGATCTCCGGCTTCCAGTCCTGGCGATTCTTCTACGGACACATGTGGACACTCTTTAAGCAAGGATGGTATATAAGGGTCAATGACACAATGCTCATTTTCATGAGTTTTTATGTAACATTTTAATGTATTATGTATTTATGTTTTCTAATTTCTTCAAAAATACAAAAAAATAAAATTCTCATTGAATCAACACACACCTCTTCTATGGATTATGTTTTTATTTTCAAAAATAAAATTTAATTTGATATTTTTGGGGGGACATGAAAATATCAGGTATAATTATTTAAAAATATAAAAAAATATATAAATATTTAAATAATTTTCTTTTGGCATTAAAATAGTACTATTAGTAATAATAGTACTATAATAGGATATACTAAAGACGCGCAGTGAAGATTTAGCGCTGAAAAGGCGTGGACACAGTTATTTTTGCGCCTGACCTTATTGAATATGCATTTGTAGGAGTTTCCCTATCAGATGAAAAATTTATGTGAGGAGAGTATTCAAATGAATCACGGAACGCAATTTACTAACGTTTGCGCTCATCAAATTACTGGTATTTATTTACTGGTATGCCATTATTTAATGCCCAAAAAAGCATGTCTTAAACTATTTTGCACCTGTGTCGTAAGTAGATCACCTGCACCTGATGAGCATCGGCTCTGTTTATTTGCGACTACGCTAATTTGTGCTGTGCTTGGTATATTGCATTGGTCGATATGTAAATGAGATGTTTTGAAATATCATATCATTTGACCATTGTATGACAAACTGGTTCAGGTTATAAAATATCATATTGTGTCTTTTCCATATATAATTCTGAATTAATTTATGAAAATATATTTAAATTTTTTTTTGTTAGAGCATGTCATTTATTATTTCTTGAAAATTGTATAAACATTTTTTTAAATTTCTCAACACAAAGAGTCGATTTCTAAGAACACTACATGTGTTTTAAACTAGATTTTTTTCCCTTTTATATGTCAATGACCCGCGAACTTCACTACCTCTCCAAAGGCATGTAACTCTTGCAACGGCGGTATCAATAATTCAGACGACAGGATGAGTTAAGTGTGTTACCTCATGCCCAATCATACTCACAGCTCTGTAGCGCACTAGATAGTGTTTGATGGGAGAGCCCCCATCGTCCTGCTTGATCCAGTGGACCTTCATCTCGTTGCCTGTGGACAGTGGCTTAGCGTCCAGTTTAGGAGGATTAGGTTCCCCTGAGGAGAAAACGGCCAGAAAAAAACGCTGTTAGAAGACCCTCGCACAGATTCAAAATGTGTCCTAACCCAGCCACATTTCCACAGGTGAATGTCCCCTCATCCTTTAACAGCTGATTTGTAATCCACAAGGTATTCTTTATCTCTGAATATGAACTGCGAAAACGGCCAGAAAAAAAAAAAAACACTGTTAGAAGACCCCAGCAAAGATTCAAAATGTACCCTAACACAGGCACATTTCCACAGGTGAACGCCCCCTCATCCTTTAACAGCTGATTTGTAATCCACAAGGTATTCTTTATCTCTGAATATGAACTGCAGAAATAGGTTAGCTAATTAAAATCCTGGCTAATTTTAGCTTATAATTAATTTACAGTGTTGACCCAGCTGGGAGAATTTAAAAGGAAGTTATATAGCAGTGCATGGTCTCTAAACTATGCACAAAAATGGTCAAATTAACGATCAAAGGATGAGATGTAACACTTTATAGTTGAGTCACTTAGCAAAGTCTAAATTCCTCTGTTCTCGTTTTTGGCTAAACTGTCGAGACATCTCATCGCAGAGGCTTTCTGGCAGCATAATGATGACTTCTGCCTCCCATCCTTCCAAATGTGGAACATTAATGAAAGCGCTTGGCTCTTGTAAAAGTGGAGCTGAGTCGCTTGGGCATGTGGAGGGCTGTAATGAGAGCTGGACCTGTGTTGGTGGCAGTGATGGAGGAAGAGAGCGGCGCTGTAATGCAGTCTCTGGGGGAGCTCGTTATCTCGACTTGCCCACTACTTAATGACAGAACTCACTTAATTATCCTCCATGCTTTGATTGGAGATTCTCAGCCATTACATTTAATAATATCAGCGGGTCGAAGGGGAAGGTATATGCGCATGTGTGGGCGCTTGTTTGGGATGTTAGCTGTCTACCTGTGTCACTATAGGAGACTGGGAGGAGGCCACAGTGCTCTGCTCCCATTCATCATCATAAATAGCTGCTAGACACAAACCCCTATTAGGAACTGATGCGACACTGTGTATATACGCCACCAAATATACAAAACATGACAAATGAGATGAATTTCAGGTCAAGACAATAGAATATCTAAATGTTTGACCTAAGTAATATAATGTACAAGTTAGATTAAATGTTTGGGATTCAGTTCTGCTCATAAGTTTACATTCTCCTGGCACCTGGCAGAATCCGCAAGATATAGATATACTGTATATATATATATATTTTTTTTTTTTCTTAATATAATATAATATAATATAATATAATATAATATAATATAATATAATATAATATAATATAATAATAGTAAACAACAGGTCAAAGGTTTGGGGTCAGTAAGATTTATTTATTTATTTTTTCCAGAAATAAATTCATACTTTTAGTAAGCAAGGACATACTGATTTGATCAAGAGTAGCAATGCTCTTTGTATTTGTTTTTTTTTCCAAAATGCTATGATTATATTGTTACAAAAGAATTTTCAAACGAATGCTGTTCTTTAGAATTTTCTATTCATCAAAGTGTCCCGAAAAAATCATGGTTTGCACAAAAATATTAAGCAGCTGTTTTCAACATCGATAATAACAAATGCTTGAAATCAACAAACTAAAATGAAAGATCATCTAACTAAATACTGGATTAATGGCTGCTTAAAAATTATTAAAATAGAAAACAGTTATTTTAAACAGTGAAAATATTTCCCAATTTCCCAATATTCTTGATCAACTAAATGTAGCCTTGGTGAACTTAAGTGACATGTTTCAAAAACCTTACAGACTCCAAACTTTTGAACAGTAATACTACTACTAATAATAATATATAAATATAATATAATATAATATAATTAATATAATATAATCAATGATAATATAGTCAGTGACTTCCTGTAAGCTTCTGAGATGACTGTGAAGCTTTTTAAGATTCTGCAAAGGGTATACAAAGTATGTAAGCCTGAAACCGTAACCCTGTATATGTTTGTTATGGTCTCATATCCTAATAAATCTCTTTGTAGTCTTCTGTAATTAAGCTTAATTTAAGTTACATTTTTTGAAAAATTCAGACCAACAGGCAGTTAGTTTAAGCATGCATGAAAATAGAGGCCTAAGGTGGTTCCTTCGTGATGAATTGAAGCTTGATTAAAGTTTGTAATCGGATGCTGCAATTTAAATGAAGACAAGTTAATTTAAGACAAGCAGTGCAGGAGTGATGACAGTTAAACAGGTTTTCTGAGATCCAGTCATCAATTCCAGTTAGCTGAAGGATTTCCAGATGCTAAGAAGACAAAGAAGGACAGATTAGGGTTACAGAGAGAAAGAGGGCAAACATGCGCTACCATGCAGAAGGAGGATTAGATTCAAGGGTCATGGATTATTGTGCCACTCGATCATGACTAATAATAGCTGCTATCCTAACTTGACATATTTCAGGAATAGCAGCTGAGAGATGAAAAATGACATAGACAGTATCTCATCTCAAACCAAGTGTGTCGTTGAAAATGTTTGGGTAGGAAAAGAGAGCATTTTCTTGAAATACAAGGAAGTGAAGCTCTTCCTCTTTTGCATTTCCACATAGGAGCAGCAGCCAGGGACAGTGAGCAGGTACATTCGTGAGACAAAGACGTACAATTAGGACATGCATGAGAGGCTTTGAGTATGCAGACTGAAACTGAAAGAGAACAGAAGGGTGTGTGAATGTGTTCATGCAATAACATAATGCTGCTGTTAGTCTTTGTGATATGAACATATTTGGCACATACTGCAACTATAAGACAATTTATCATGTAAAGCACATTTATGATGTGCAAATGAATGAGGGGATGATGATTGATGTTCTTTATACTGATTTGTACAAAAACAAGTGAAAAAGATGCGTCTCTTTTTAACAAATGAGTTTGTGAGATATCATAAACATCTCATTAGTCTTTAAGCAACTCTCTTAAAGCAATAGTTTACCCAAAAATTAACATTTGTTGAAAATGTACTCGCCCAAGATGAAGATGAGTTTGTTTCTTTATCTGAATAGATTTGGAGAAATTTTGCATTAAATCACTAGCTCACCAATGGATCCTCTGCAATGAATGGGTACCGTCAGAATGAAAGTTTAAACAGCTGATAAAAAACATCAAAACAATCCACAAGTAATCCACACAACTCTAATCCATAAATAAATTAAAAGATGCATGTTTGTAATAAAACCATCAAGATGTTTTTAACTTCAAGCTGTCGCTTCTGGCTAAAAAACAAGTCCTCTATCCATAATATTGCTTTCTCTGACGGCACCCATTCACTGCAGAGGATCCATTGGTGAGCAAGTGAAGCTAAATTTCTCAAAATCTGTTTTGATGAGTAAGCAAACTCATCTATAAGGTGAGTAAAATTTCAGCAAATGTTCTTTTTAGGGTAAACTATTCCTTCAAAGATATTCGGACATTGTCTCAAAATGTTGCATCATTTATTAAAAGTAGAGTTGGAGTGGGAGGGTAGAAATGATTTCTATGTCAGTATAGTAAAATATATATTGAAAATCAATAAGAAGTTCAACATGCAGAGCACCTAGCAGCATGTGTAGGAGACTAAGCTTTGGGATTACTGTCTAGGCAGAGTGGTTAATGGTTTTCAAAAAGCCAAATAAAGTAGGTGGTGAGAGATTTCTAAAGGATGAATGACTCAAAAATGAAATGGCTCATAATCCCTGATGGCACTAGGTGGGTGTTTCCTTTATCTTCCCCTCATTAACTTGTCTGTTCTCACTGTTAATGGGAATCGGACCAAAAGAAAAAAGAAAAGAAACAAAATAAAATAAACAAAAATTACCTTCTGTTCACCAGCGAAGACGACATCATCAGCACCATGCAAGAGTCATATGACAAAGTCACATGATACGCACGCACATGATTGGTGGGAAGGGAAAGTGGAAGGGGGGAGGGTCACATGGAAAATACAAAACATTGAAAAAAATTATACAAACATGGAACGTGTTAAGACCAAAAAGTACAAACAGAAACACAAACAACAAAAAGAAAACAAATTATAAACATAAATACTTCTCTGTAACATTAGATACAGTGTGTATAGATCCATAAAGCAATTCCTGGACAGGTTTTTTTTAATTTTTGAAACACAAATACAAATCAAAGCACTTACAAAAAAATCGTCCCTATATCAGCTCTCATGAAGCCCATTTAAACTATGCAGGGTAAGAATAGGGTCCAAATTGCTTTATGAATCCACTTCACCAGCAGTATTTCCTCTGACTGCGAGTGGTTCTTTCGATAAGAGGATTCAAATACAGCTCTCTTGCACTGTACATTGAATTATAAATGCTTGTGCAGATTGAATAGCATCAATAGGGCTGTCAAACCAACTGAAACAGAGCAGGCCATCCAAAGGCAGAGGAAACTCAGTGATGTTGACCGTACAGATAGAAACCTGCCTCATCTACTGGACATGAAGCTGGATGCTACAGAACAGGCAAATGAGAAGCATTAAGGCAGAGACTGCCCATGTGTACAAAGTCCCAAGACAATACTTTGAAATGTTGATCTAGGATTATTCATCAGGATGGAAAACAAAAACTTATTCTAGATCAGCACTTTCAGCCTGAGATGTTTACATATATGAGCCCAGGACTGTAGCTGAGAAGGGTGGAGGAGGATAAAGACGAGGAGCAGCGTTTTCCATCACAACTAAAGGTCGGCAGTCTACAAGTCAAATACTAAGGGCCAGATTTACTAAACTGGGCAAATTAGCGTTAGAGCGCAATTCCATAAAAGCGCCGATGGGAGGGGAAAATTATGCGCACATTAAAGAACACAGACGCAGCCAGATAATTTCCATAATGACCAGCGTAATCTACCAAGAGAAGCACAAATTACCGCCTGCTTTAAGGCATGCTTTTTTGGGCGTTAAATAATGGCGCAAATACCAGTAATTTGACGAGCGCAAATGTTAGTAAATTGCATTTAATACTCTCCTCCCATAAATTTTGCGTCTGAAAGGGAAACTCCTACAAATGCATATTCAATAAGGTCAGGCACAAAAATAACTGTGTCCACGCCTTCACTGTGTGTCTTTAGGAAATCCTGATAGTACTATTTTAATGCCAAAAGACGGTTTGCGCTGGCACAAGTTGTTAGTAAATCTGGCCCTAGATGTGATGCCAAATGTACACCTTCAGATACTTAAGTTACATGTAAAAATGCATAAATTGGTCGGCGCCAATAGCCTTGTTGTGGGCATCATGCCGACATTGAGCGCCGTTGCGCTACGGGTGTCCTGAATTGGAATCCCAACTCGAGGACCTTTTCTGATCCTTCCCCCCTCTCGCTCTTCTACTTTGCTTCCTGTCAGTTCTGATCTGTCCTATTGTAATAAAGGGCGAAAAATAAATCTTTAAAAAAATTCATAAATTGAAGCCTCATGGAAGCCACACTGCATCAAAGCATCTGCTAAAACAGGTTTTCATACTATGAGGGAAAAAAAACATACAATATTTATTTGAACAATAAAAATGAACTAAATTTGCTTAAAATATGCTTAAAGTTCTCTAAAGAGAAATAAAATCAAAATGTTCATCTTCCTTGCAATATATACTTTCAAGAATCACTCTATATGTAGTACAGCTTTCTAAAGAGTTCATAAAGACCTTCTGGCTAAATAAGTTTGCAATCTGAGACAGATAACTGTACTAATTAAAAAAGAACAAATAGGCACATTCCACATACAAATAAGCACTAGCATTCACATTCACTTTGAAGCCATTTGAAATAAGTGTCTGTAAACCACCAGGATTCCTTATAAACTGTAGCTGTCAAGCAATTTAGAAAGTCTAAAATCTTCATGCTGATTATGACTCATTATCATACAAAAAGAACAGATCTTTTGTTCGCTTATCTACTCATACAACCCTAAAAACCTAAGCTTTAAAAAAACACTATTATATTTTAATTTCTTTGACATCTGAGGAAGTTTTAGTTTGGTGCAATCTTAAACCTGCCAGTCAATGTCAACTAAGCAGACAATAGTCAAACAACTGCCTACTTCTAAGATAAAGACCCTGTCATTTCTCTGACTGAATGAGACAGAATAGCTGTCTCCCGAAAGGAACTATCTTTCAGCGGAAAACCTTTTCAGACCCTCCCAATTTGCGGTCTGTTTGTCGAGAGATCAGGTGTAATCCGTGCTGTCATGGTAACTCTATTTTTATGCTAACGCTTGGTGGCGTCTCTCGCAGGATAGAAGGAAGTGAGAGAGCATGTTTTAGTGTTTAGGATCAAAATTCGCTTGTATAGAAACACACACCGTCATAAGACGTCTCTTGTTAATTTGGTGATTGTACAAGTTCGTAGATTTGAACCATGAGCCCTTGTGCACTCAAACACAGGTTGTTCTATGATGATGGTTCCTCTACTGCAATTCTCTTCGGATAAAAGCATCTATGCTTGCATCTCTGTCGGATGTCATGCACTCCTAAGAATGCTAATGTTGACAATTTTGCTTAATGTTGTGAAGACAGCTCCATTAGTTTCCACATTCGTGACAGTATGCAACACGTCTCATTAATATCTCAGAGTGCACAATAGGAGAACTGCAAGTGTCATGCTGCTTCTACAACTTTCTGCACATCCAATGGCATAAAAACTCAGCACACATCATGAGTTCATAAACCATTAGCACAAAACAGCATGTCATATTCCTGTATGTCTACCATGCAGTGTCATGTTAGACAGGTGAGCTGGTCTACAAGCGGATGTTAGTGATGGTTCTCTACGAAGGCTTGATGCCAGTCTCTCACTAACATCTACACGGTCTCTCTTCTCTATCACAGACGTGTGTTGTCGGTCTACTGCGAACGTGTTGACTTCAGAACAATGGTCTAGGTGAGGCGAACAAACGTGTAGCAGGCGGATAAAGAGTGGCAAACGACACTGCACACAGTCGGCATACTCACTAAGGTCGGCAGTGGTTGGAGGAATGGAAGTTGGAGTCTCTGAAGACACTGGAAGATGGTGAGAACAGGGTGAGATGTGCTTCCGTGGTGCCGTACTGATTGTAGAGCCACTGCTGTAACAGTTTCATAGCAACTAACTAATGTACATCACACTGCAGCAACATTCAACCAGTCCAGACAGAAGTGCATGCGACCCAAATGAAAAGTTCCTCAGTGTAGAGACACAGACATACTGTATACTATACGGCCAAAAGTATGCAAAGGTGAAAACGAAGGGCGCTATAGGGATGCCCTTTGAAACATTGCAATGACAAAATTTATTTGCTCGGCAAAATTTATTTATTTATTTAATAAATGATTTAATCTTATTAGACTTTAGTCGTCCAATTGGATATGTGGCATAGGCAACTGAAGTCTAATGAGAAGAAGTAAATTAAAATTATGCCAAACAGAATGCCATTTTAAGTGTACAAAACAGACATCACAATGCTAAAAAGTTCACTGAATACATGTTTAGTTTTAAAAGGAGTTAGTTAATATAATATTTAAAATAGAACTATAAAACAAATTATTGAATTAGCTATAAAATAAAAGAATTCTCTGTTGGTTTAGAAGTCAGTACTTTTTTCAGTGAATCTCATGTAATAAACACTACTATTCAAAAGTTTATGGTCAGTAGTAAGATTTTAAAAAAGAAAAAGAAAAAAAAGAAAAAGAAATTAATATCTCTGTATTATTTATTTATACTGTTTATACTATATTATATTACTAAGCTAAAATTCTATAAATGCTGTTATTTTGAACTTTCTATTCATGAAAAAATATATTGTGGTTTCCATAAAAGTATTAAGCAGCACAACTGTTTTTAACACTGATAATAATAATAAACTCTTATTAAACACTAAATGAAATTAAACTGAAAGATCAGTTGACACTAAAGAGCGGTAATAGCTGCTGAAAATTCAACTTTGCCATCACAGGAATAAATTACATATTAAAACAGAAAACAGCTATTTTAAACTACAATAATATTTCACAATATCACTTTTTAAAGTACTTTTGACCAAATAAATGCAGCCTTGGTGAGCACTTTTTAAATTTTACTGACACCAAATTTCTGAATGCTTTTTTTAACATACAAAAATAAATAAATAAATACATAAATAATAAAAAGCAGAGCAGAGGAAGGAAAAAATTTATTCTGTGTGAACTAGTTGTAAAAATATATACCCACACACATTCAGTGTATTGGATTAACAGTTAAACTGCTTGAGTCTGTGCTACTGAACCAAGCAGAGATCTACATTAAACTTAGTAATTAATAAAACTAATGAACTTCACCACATTTTACGTTTCTTGAGTACAAAGTACAAAGAACATATAAATGACACCATCATTCCAAGTAAGACAGCAACAACATTTCAAAGAACAGCCTCTTCTGGATCATGCACAAACAATTTAATGCTTATTACGACTATACCGGGCTCCGAGACGTACATAATAACCTGTATTTAAACGTCAATGCTGAACAAGCTGAGCGTGACAGCACAGACGTCTCAAGCCGCAAGGACACCACTCGATTCAAAGTGTGGTACTTTCCTGGAAGTGCATTAGTGCTAGTGACTCATCATCACCTTCAATATACCCTCATCTATCTAATCTGAGAGAAGGCTGGCTTCTATTGAGCTGAACCTCAGAGCCTTAGAGTTAAACGATAAGTACTTTGAGTGGAAGGTAATGATATGATGGGGGCGAAATATCCCCTGTTTCCTCTTTTAAGCTTAACGCAATTAGACAGAGGCGCAGTCTGTTTGTGAGCCGAGTGTCTGACAGATGACAGACTATGTTAGAGTTTCAAAGACTGTTTGACTAAATAGTGCCGAGCTTCTGTCTTTTAATCTCTTTCTTTCTGCACCAGTTGTGAATTTATTTCAAGGAACTTCTAGATACTTGGTGACAAAAGGAGCCTGAAGTGCTAACAGCATCGTCAGTTAGTCCTTGGAGGATTAAAGGAACAGTTCACTCAAATATGAAAATTCTGTCATCATATACTCACCCATGTGTTGATTCAAACCCGTACGAACCCTTTCTTTCTTCCGTGGAACACAAAAGGGAATTTTAATAATGTACAGATTGTGTTTTCAGATGGAGACTGGAGCTTTGAAGTTGTCAAAAGGCCATAAAAGCATTATAAAAGAATCATAAAAAGTCATTCAGTACTTTGTGATGAAATGTATTCCCTGGAAATCAAGTGAGTTGTTAACCAGTGCTACAGAATCAATGATTCAGTGTGCCGAATCTGAGAACTGGATCAGCATGATTTAACGCAAAGGTCCAACTCAAAATTCAAATGATTCATTCACCAGTCACTTCTCTAATGAACAGGCATGCTCTCTCATGTAGGATTTCATTCACATTCACAGCTTAGCTTTCCTAAGTCATACGGACCACTTTTATAATGCTTGGTAACACTTTACATAAAATAGATAACATCAGAAATACAATAACAAATGTAGATTCTACAGCGTATAATACTTCAGCTTCATTCGTCGCACCAAAAGATAAACTGCAGTGCTTTACAATTATAGGACAGGAAGAGCTAAATAAACTTATCACTGCATCTAAACCAACAACATGCCTGTTAGATCCTGTACCCACTAATACAATAAGGGTACATGAATAATCATGCACTAATGCCTAAATTAATACTTAATTCATCAAATACTAATGATTATTAAAGGTGTTAACTAATCATGAATTAATGAAGAGCTATCCTTAACTACAACTGGAGTCATATGGATTCACGCATGAATAACGGAGTCATATGGATTCACACATGAATAACGGCAGCCTTAACTACAGTACATGTTAGTAGATGTTTGATAGTTAATGCATTAATTAACATTTATGGGTAAACTAAATCAAACAGCCTCTTTAAGAGGGAATAAGAAATACTCCGACTTTGAAATAAATGAAAAGAATTTAATACTATCATTTTATAACTGTTGTTAAAACATTTGAGCTTTTTACATCTTCAGCTTTGCCATAAACATTACTGGGTGGAAAAAGATTAGTTGATTCTCCTCATCAAGTGTAGAAAATACTAAAAACACTAATAACTGATCTTGTTTTGTGTTGTTCTCTTTCCCTTTAAACTACCCCAGCAGTGACTTATAAGCAGCTAAATAAAAATAAAACCTCAAAATCCACAAAGAACATTTGTAGAACAATCCTGAAGAAATGCCCAGAAACAGTTCACTGTCCATCCAGACGCAGGCCGTGATGATACTGTACCTCCGCTCTCTGACTTCTTGAAAATCCACACCACATCTCTTACTAAATACTCGCTGTGTTAGTACATGTGTATTTGATAGTAAGTATAAAATAAATCATGAGCTGCAATCCTAAAGAAATGCCCGGAAACAGTTCAGTAGGTAGCTGAGTTTAATAGGTAGTTAACAGTGAATTAATTATGATTGGGCCCCCGCAAGTAAAGTCATGTCAAAATAATGAATTAACAAGCCATGAGTTCATGTTAGTGTATGGGTAGTTAATAATGAGTTAATTATTGTGGGCCCTCTCAAGTAAAGTCATGACAAAATAATGCATTAACAAACCATGAGTTGATGTTAGTGTATGGGTAATTAATAATGAGTTAGTTACGATGGGCCCCTCAAAATAAACTCGTGACACAATGATGCATTAACAAATCATCAAATAAAAACCATATTAAAAACCGATAAAGGTTATTTATAGTCCTTTTATTATTTATTTACATCATTTAACATATATGGACCAAACATAACTAAATAACTACTAAAACTACTAAAATAAATATTTTAACAAAATGTCTTTATTCTTTTGTTTTATCATGCTTGCATCGATGGGTCATTTTTGACCCATGTGTGTAATCTTGATGTAGTAACAAAAAACCTTGAAAAAAATAAAATATTAATTCGTGGTCCTTGTAAAAATCATGGAATTTATAGATCAGGGAATATTAAATGCTGAAATAAACTGATTTCAAAAGATAAAACAAAAAAATGCCCAGCGAAGTATGAAATAACATAGGAAATGAATATGGGTCATTTTAGACTCATGTTGTGCATTAGAAGGGGTTTTCATAGCTTGTGCATCAAAGGGTTAAGTATTAATTTAGTCATTAGTTCATGATTATTCATGTACCCTTGTTGTAAAGTGTTACCTAATGCTTTCGCACCTTTTTTGGAACTTGAAAGCTCCAGTTCATGCACATTCATTGTAATTGCACTGAAAAAAAAAACACCACATTTTCCAAAATTACTCCATTTATGCAGAAGAAAGGAAGTCATACAGATTTGGAACGACATGAGGCAGAGTAAAAGATTTTCATTTTTGGGTGAACTATCCCTTTAAAACCACATTGATAAAAAAATGCAAATTTATTTTAGCTTCAAGTCAATATTAACAAGCTTTGATATTTCTTCTCTCTGATTTCCAGTGTTTTAACTTGCAAACAACTAGTCACTGCAGGCTTATTGATCTCACAAAACACTGCTCTGTTCTTCAATTTGGTCTACTGCTCTGCAGATGAAAAAATACATGCTAAATGGAACTGTATTATCCGCTGTGGTCTGATGAAACGCTGTGGGGCAGTTACATTGTGTAGTGCTTTGTAGATATCACAGAGCAGAGGCCGAGGTTCAAAGCACACAGAGCGTCTCAGACAGAGAAGAAAATTGCTCTGCGGAATAATAAGGATTATCATATCGTAAGTGTTTCATGTCAAGGGGAATGAAGGGGGTGTTAATGCCATTGCAGCGGTGATCACAATTAAAGCACTCCAGAACTCTACCTGAGGACGTGGACCATCTGCTAGGTCGCTGGCCTGTGTCTCTATCTCTGAGAGATGTATTCACCGGCAATGAAGCAGAGAAACACTGAGAACCACCAGATGTGCTAGGCAATAGACCTAGTTTAAACCATCTCTCAGGGGTACTAAATAACTGAGCACAATCTAATGAAGTGCCACGTAAACTGTTTTACAGTCTACTTTCTGTGCCCCAGTA